GGCAGGCTCGGCGCTGCCGCCTGGTTCCGGCTGGCGTAGTAGCCGGCTCATGTAGGTACCCCAGACCCTGAGGACTACCGGCGCAGACGCAAAAAGGTGCGAGAAAAAAAAAAGAGCAGTTCTCATCGGTATATTTTTATGGGTCCTGCCCATGTCCGGTAGTCGCACCTCGACGAACATCGGGTCGTGGTATTCTTCGTGACAATCGGAGAGGGGTGGCTTCCGTGATGCTGGTCCCAGCGTTGAAGTATAGTTCTGGAGTTGTGCTAGCAGTCTCCTCGGTGGATGCGACCGTCACCCTCGCAGGTCGCTGCCGGCTCACGGTCGTTGCGCTGCCACCATCTCGGCTTTTTCCCCTGGCGGTTTGCGCTAGTCGCCACCCCTGAGCGACACCCTCGCCGACTCACCTTCCCCGCCCCCGCTCGCCAGGCGTGTGGTGTGAACGCCTTGTGCGCGCAACTTCTTTGCCGTAGACTGTCACCTTGGCTTTGGGCGTGTGCGCATGGTTCGCGCTGCTTCGGACGTTGGTACAACGGTCCGAGTGGTAAAGGTCGTTTTCGTCATGTTTGGAACACGATCACATGCTGGACACAGTTCCACGAGCTGAGTAGGCCCAGGCTGCAATGATTCACCAGCAGTCACAAGCAGTGGGTCAGCAGTGTGTTGTCCATTCACTTTCGTCAAGCATGGTGATGACGACTGGTATTGTCAAGGTTGCAAAGATTCCATGCTTTGCCCATGTTGCAACTGCAGGCCCAAACAGTTGATCAGGAGTTTCTTCTTGGAGTAGATAAAGCCAGGAGCAGCCTGGTTAGGCCTAGTTCATATGGTGTGGGGCCGATCGACAGCACAGCCCACCACAGGGACAGACACATGTTGCGGGTTGGTGCCATGGTTGCATCTGCAAATGCGATAACAACAAGCTCTTGAATATCGTTGGGTATTGGCAGAGCAGGCTAACAGCTAACACAGTTGACAAGCTATAGCTGACGCATACATGTGCGAAGCCTTCGGGGCGCGATTGCCACAGGCATAGTAGCGCGGTAGGTACATACACTGTTTCGGACTTCTGTCCCTGCACATCGAAGGCGGGCTCCGTCCATCGGCATGGATCTGACGAGCACCGCTGGTGTCTCCTGCCGAGTGTGGCTTCCCGACTCAGTGACTTGGTTGAAGAACGAAAGAACACGAGGGAGGTAAAGCGAGGAGTGAGCAAGACGACGAGGTGTTGGCTGCCGGGGCGAAGCTGAAAGAAGCGTTGGAGGGCATAGGCAGTGCCAACATCGAGCACCTTCGGAGGAGAGGTATTGCCAGCAACAGTTGCACGAAGGTTTAGTTCAGCATCGCCAGGAAGCACATCGGCGCCAAATTCAGCGTGAAAGGTCAACCTTCCACAGAACCCGCACCATGGCGACGACTCCACGTGGTTGTGACGTGCCCGCAGCCCAATTGCCAATTGCTGACGGCAGAGCTCCAGCTCCCGATGACTTGTTTTTAAGAAACAAAGCTTGCTACAGTTGTCGGTGTTCGTTTGATGTGCTGAGCCGCTGCGCAGGTCCCACTGCACAAATGCTTGCGAAGGCAGCCGTGCTGTGTTCTTGTTGTGGTGCCTGTTTGTGGTATGTCCTGTAGGCCCAAGCTGATGTGGTGGATCTTTGCGAAACGGCTTGTGATGTCGCTGCAGATATCTTGGGACTAACGGATGACCAGGACCCGTTCCCCTCTTGTCAAGTCCACCACAGGCTCTCGACATACTCGTGGCTTGTCATTCATGAGAGGTGCAGGATGCTTTCGAAAAGATTCGAGTGGAAAGGCAAGAGTCCACGAGGACAGCTTGGGCGTTCGGGCGCAACTCTGTTCAAAATCCGAGGCCCAATGCATCTTCTCAGAAGCCGTGGAAACTGTTTGTGCTGTTTGCATTTCTTTTCGTGGCTGGTGCACATGCGAGAACCCTTGCTCAAGTGAAGAACTCCATGGTCTGAGACTACTTAGGGAACAAAGCAAAGGTATGTGCACACGCTGGTCGGCTACAGGTGTGCCACACGGACCTTGCCGACTATCACAATTGCCGGGTCGATGTTGACACTGCTTAAAAAAACATCCCTCTGTTGAGCTGCTGAAGGCAGTAGGCAAGTTTCATGTAAGCGCAGCCGCACATGTGCTGTCTTGCAACATGAGCAATTTGCTGCGCAGGATAGAAGGACCTTTGCAATTCCCCTTGCCAATGCCAGCGCTCGTCAACACAGCGGCCTTGGACACGAGTTCTATCTGGCAGCGTGATGAGTCACCCAACCCCAAACAGGCCGGATTCTTCAAAGATGGGCTTGCGATCGCTACTGCCTTTGCAGAAAATCGTGAAATCGAGCGATGATCTGTGGAACACTCCGTCCGAGGCCTCGCCAACCTTGTGGTCGCCTTCCGAAGCCGATGCAGCACCTTTGCTTGCGCAGCAGGTGACCAGAAGATACAGAGAAAGAAGTAAAAGACCAGAAGGGAGGAAATAGAGAAAGACGGCCAGCATACAAGTGACAAAGCCAGACAGGCATGCAACTACAAGGGTGTAATATCGACGGAATAAGGCAGCAACTACAGCAAGTGCCAATCAGTGACAGACCGAACGAAGCAGAAAGGGACATTGATTAAATGCATGATCGGAAGATGAAGCAGAAAGTAAGTCAAACAGCACAACACAAGTTAGTCCACGACAGTTTTCACGCATCGACATTGAGGCAACGAATTTGTGCAGACTGTGGCTGATTTTCTTAGCTTGGACTGGGCGATCATGCCTCAGGGAACTGATTCCTCGTATCAGTGACACAGCAGACTAGAAAGATGTAGCAACAGGATTGAGGCAAAGGCGTGGATCCATTTTGATTGTGTGATCTCCGGTTTCAACATCTGATCCGCCTTGCCGTCTGGCTCCTGTGCAGGGGCTTGGCACTACTCCAAAAAGTGCGACACCAGCGGTCATGCCTCCTCGCTGCCCCCTCGTGCGACAGAATCCGACATTGTCCGCACTAGAAAATCTCATCCTGATCTGGTTTGCCTAGGCCCGAAAGTTCGTGGCATCCCTGCAGCTTTTGCAGGGCGGCTACCTCGCACTGTGGAGCCCATGTCGCTCCCGACGTCGCTTGGGTAGAACATGTCTGCAATGTTGATCTCGCAATGTCTTGGAGTTTCATAGCGGGAGCGCAAGGCCAACGGCGATGATGCAAGGTCTGCAAATGGCGCCTCCGACGCCGCTGCCCGCCCGTCCTCCAATAGCGATGAATGCACCGCTCACACCAGTGCCATTGATTCCGACACCTCCAGCATCGGCAATTCTCACCCCGCCTGCATCGGAGCTACCTGGCGGTCCTCACATGCTCGATGCACACCTCGAGGCGCCTGAGTTCGCTGTATGGGCAGAGCTGTGGCGGCTGTGGCCTTGGCCTCTGCAGGTGGCGAGGTTGGCCCAGGCATGGCTCGAGCGAGGCCGCAAAGACGAGACCGGGAGGCCCAAGAAACGGGCCCGGACCAGATTGGACCTCCGCCTGTGCAGAGTGTCTGCGGGCAATATGCGTGCATGGGCCATGTCATCTAAGGAGTCTGATCCTTACTTGCTTCGCGCACACACAGAGGATCCATATTTGACGATGCTGAAAGAGGCCGGTTCAGCCTCTGCGTGTGCACGCCCGCCCGCAGCGGCCCCCCAATGGATGCAGAAAGAGCTCTTGGCTGCAGGCAGAAGCGGAAGATGGCATGACACTGCCAGAGGAAGTCACGTAGCCGACAAGATTTCAGTCGATTTCTCCGTCGTTCCGAATCGCAGGACAGCCCCATGCCCCCGCCCAACAGCATTGTGGCCCACAAGCGCAAGGCGAAGATGCAGGCAATTCCTGGCCCCGGCCCGAGGGAAATGGGTACTTGCGCCTTGAAGACAGTTTCTCACCTGGGCTTGTGTTCAGGTTCAGGCCCAATAAAGGTGGGGCAAGAGGCCCAGCAGGTGGACGAAGAGTCCAAGCGAGCTCCTGAGCCTGCTCCATCCTTGCCCATGCCCCTGTGCACACCACTGAGGTCAAATTCCTCAACATCGGAGTCGGACTCCGACTCAGAAGGAGAGGAGTCGGAGGCACTTTTGAACTCTCCCGCAAAAGTGAATCCTACTGGTCCTGCTTGTTTCAGCAAGACTGGGCTAGGAACCTGACGATGATGAGGTTGAGGACAGGTTATTTGGGTTGCTGTAGCGCTGAAGCGGGATGAGCTAAGTCCTGACAAAGGCGTCTTTGAAGCGCATGATGTACCGTGAAACTTGCAACAGCCCAGTTCTTTGCCCTGAGGTTTTGAAAAGGCTCTCGCAACCCAGTGCGTGCTTCTGCGGCGCAGGAACTGGACGATGCTGCCGTTCCTTCAGCATCAAGTGCGGCAGGAGTTGAGGTGGGATGCAGACTGCTTGGATGCACCCACTGGTTCCGACGTTGGCTACTGCGAAGGTACATCTGGGTTCTGAGCCACGGTTGCAGCTGTACAAGCCCCTCGTCCGCAAGCGATTTCGTATTTTGCAGTGTAGAATCATGGCCAGGGTACTTGCCACGAATGTAACCAGCCTTCGATGTGGTGCGTTTTGTCTCTCTTTGTGATCTTTTGCGTGGTATTTCATGATAATCCTGCTTCCTCCTGCTTGGAGACAATCCGTCTAATTCAATTGCTTTGCAGCCGGGTGGGGCTGGCGGGAGCCGCCACCTCGCCTTGTTTTGGGAGGGCGTGACCTGTTGTAAATTGTAAATGACAGCAGATGCGCCGTTTGGGTCCCCACCTAGGTTGTCATAATCGGAGCATTTCCAAAGCAGTTCCGGAGCAGGGCTTTCTTCATTGGCCTTCCTTTCCTGACATGGCAGGTATAGCTGTACAGCCCTGCTTCAAAAAAAGTTCCGGAGCAGGGCACTCATACAGCGTCACCACGCGTACAGCGCCGTTAGCACTGAAACCCCGATCGCGGATCCGAACCACATTGAGAGGGCTGTCATTGCCGGAGCAGCACTCGGCCTATCTGTGGGAAATTTCAAGCGATCGCGCTTGCGGCAACGCGAAGATGACACTTCCCGTCTTTTTCGGTGGCGTCCAAATTCCGTTCCCCCAAGTACCGGCGAGATTTACTAATCTCGCAAGCCGAAAATCGTCGCGTGGCGCGCCCCGGCACGCCTATCCCACGTAGAGGGTTACAAATCCGGAAGGATAGGTTCCGCAGTTGCGTTTGCAATGGATCCAGTTTTGATCGAGCCGACCCGAACAAGCAGACGCGCTGCATCCATGGCAAATTCCAACACATGCGCCGTGCACACGGTACAGAGTAAGCCGCGCGAATCTGTAGACGTAGGTCGCAGACGCTACATCCGGACATACGCCTGTATGTACCATAGTAGCTGAGTCCGGGAGCGGTAGACTGCAGACACCACATGCAATGGGGATGACAACTATGTCATACCTCCAGAGGTTAATTAACGGATTTGTATAGTGTATAGCCAGTTCACAACATGAGAACAGGTTGAGTCTGAACATGTATCCCTGTAATGACCATGATTGTGAACGTGATTGTTGTATATCCGCGGCTGTAGGGCCCTTGAGCATATCAGATAGCTTCGCAGTGCTGGTGAGAAGTCCGACCAGTTTCATATCTTGTTTTATCGAGTAGCAATGTCGTTCTCGGAATGCTACCCGAAGGCTTCTGGAGTTCAGACCCCTCCAAACTGACGTAGTTCAGTATTCACCGTGGATGGGCGGATGGGTGCTCTTATCACATGCATGGATGATTGAATGGTTAAATGCAAACACAGGTGAATAGATGCACAACAAATGGATGGGTGGGTGATAGCCTTTATGTCGAAACTGGCTACTATGTGACTGCATGCATGCATGCATGCATGCATTCCTGACACACGTGAATTTGTTCATTCTGCATTCTGGATAATTCATGTCGCTCTAGTCGCTTGCTGAGCCAGGAGGGGTGTTGAGTAAGGGAGTCAGGGAAGAAAGCCTGAGAATGAGAGGATGGGACGTTTTCCGTGGGAGGTGTGCCATTTCTTTGTGCGGTTTCTGTTTGATCGGGCTTGCCGATTAAATGGCCAGGCTTGGCTTTGTTTGGCTTGGCCTGTATTGCTTCGGCTCGGGGGTATAACATGTTCTTGTGCACCGTTCTACAAGGTGTTAGGGCCAGGGTTGGGGGTTTGGGTTCGGGGCTGCCGAATCGAACCGTGCTCACCGACCTGGGCTTGAAGTGAAGGAATCTCGCGGTTGTGTTCGGGGCTTGCTCACCAGCCTGGGCATGTCTGTGCATTAACTGTGCAACTATGTCCTAGTATTTACTCTGAGAGGTTTTGCACGGTTTGTGCGGGCCTCGTGCCGGAGTGGACTTTCATGGGGACATTGGGTTTGTGTCGGCCTTACGTGGGCTTTGGGCAGGTCTCTTGGTATGAACGAAAGAACTCCAAGCCTCCCGAAAGTACGTTCAATAAACAAATGTCCTGACAACGTGAACTTGAAATTGATCTTCTTGTTTTTCTTCCAAAGCATACCACGCACGCACAAACACCAGAGCGGCGAACCTCAAAGCAGGGTCGATCGTGATTTCCAGGTTTGCTGACATTCATCCTCTGAGGCTTGGAGCCAAGTGTTGCGACGTCCTCGCACATTTCGTGGGTGGCAACGAAAATTCACTTCCAGAAAGTCACCGGCGCGATGCTTAGTCATTGGAGCCAGGCTTCAGGTAGTTCAAATAGCACGTCGGCATTTGGTCGTTGTGGTGCATTTGTCGAAGAGTTGACGTGACAACTGAATCATATTGCACGGGCCGGCTTAATTCGTGGTTTCTTTCCGAACGCCTGTTGTGAATGATGCAAAAAAAAGCTATGTATAGTGCATGCATGGGGCCCAAAGGCTGGACATCGATCAGCGGGTGCGCCTCGAACACTGTTGGGTGCCCCAGTGTGTTTGTCAACCCGGAACAGAGCACCAACCCACTGCAAAACTGGAGGTCGGAGGCACCTGCAGTGGGCGGATGACCTCACCACAGCATCTCGACAGTCAACTGCAGTTGAGTTTGACGTGCCGAAAAAGAGCGGCCATTGGAGCTCATTGAGAGGTCTGGCATTTCTCCTTATCAGAAGGTCGCGAGCAGGCCTCTGTGAGTTGGTGTGCGAATCGAAAGCACGTGAACGGGGCCTCGCTTCCACTCGGCAGGATGCCTGGGCTGCTCTTCGTAACTATTTCGTCTCCCGCAAGCGCGTGGGGCTGGCGGAGCTGCCTCGGAGCGTGGTGGGCCACCGAGTGCAGCTCTTGCGCAGCATGTTCTTGGTGCCTTCGTGGTTATCCCAGCAACAAGGAGTACACAAGAAGAGTCGCCACTACATAGAAACACGTGGCGGAGTGGCGGAACAACTGCCAAAATAACTGCGTGAAATCTACGACGTTGTTAGAAGGAGCGAAACCAAGCGTCGACGCACCGCTTTCCCAAAATTCATCTCCCGCTGCAAGCATGCCACCGGTCCGAAAACTTCACATAACAAAGAAGAAAAACCTTTGCTGCCGACGGCCGAGACGCATGCGGCCATCAGATGGGTATTTTCGTGGGGGGTAACCCCAATAAGCATATGGTTTGGACGTCCCCCCAATTTTGAACGATGGGTTGTGAACGTCACCCACTCCATTTTATAGAGGAATGGTCTCGTGCGATCAGAATTGGCTTGCAACCCACAGTCTTCCCATACCCTCTGAATCCAAATGCTTACTTAGCCCATAAAATGGCCCTGGTAACAAGGATTTCCCAGGGGCCCTTACTACAGTTTTTCCCATCCGGCATTTCCGTCACCGGAGTTTGGGCGTCTGGCACTGTGCTTGGTCAGTTGTCCGGCGGAGTCCCTTGCGCCCTTCTTTGCCCTGGTCGCACTCCTTGCAACTGCATGACCTGCTCTGGTTGCCACGTCAACTGTAGCTGGCTAGCTTTGAGATACCGTGCATGCCGCAGCAGCTGTAGCACCAAAGGCTCATCGAGTGCTTTTGAGGTGTACATCGTGCCTCCAGACCAAGAGTTCCTTTCAGAGCTGGGTCTCCCTGCCGCGGCGGAGAGCTTGGCTGGAAGCTTGCTGGGTCTCCAGGCTCGGCTCAGGAGGAAGTGAAGACTAGGTCAAGTCAGATTCTTTTTGCAGGTCCCCCTGTACCAGTCCGAGGGCAACCCTCAAGATCGAGATCCTGAGCCTGTCCCGACAAAGCCGCCTCCCGAGCCACCAACAGCGATGCAAGCAGCACCGGAAGTGGCGGGAGAGCCGGAAGCATCGGTACCGCCGGCACAGGCTTCCCAAGGCCTTCCTGCAGAGCCTTCGCTTGAGCTCCAGACTGAAGCAAGAGCACGGCAAGGAAATGTGGAAGGCATGCCTGCCGAAGCACCTTCAAAGTCTCTGCCTGATCAGCGAAGCGACCTCCAAGCGCCGTTGGACGACTTGGTCGAGAGGCTTGAGGAGAGAAGTAGACAGGTGGTACAGGACCACTGTGGTGGGGTCACATGGGCGATAAGGTAAGTTAGAAGCGCTGCTCGCACCAACAACTTCGTAGGGTAAGCACGAACCTGGCATGTGTTGGTAGTGCCCTGAAGGATGGGCAAGCTGGAGGCATCCCCGAAACATGCGACGCGACCTCACAAGCGCAGATAGGAGAAAAGCAGGACGCTGTGATCGAAGCGGCTGGTCTTCCTGAAGGTGCTGGCGATGAGACTCCTGCTGAGCTTGCCATGCAGGCAGCGGTCGTCAGCCGGACCACAACGGACACATGCTCGAAAGCGGAGCCAATCCTGGATTCTTCAGAGAAGACTGAAGACGGCGAAGCAAACGGCAGCCAGCATCCCGACGATTCCAGTGTTGGCGCCGTCCCGCTTGAAGAAGACTTGTCCCGGTAGTCGGAAAGAGTGACGTCGCGAGACCAGAATGATCGCAAGATCCAAAGAGCTGGCCAACCGGTCTGCAAACGAAGGACGAAGGCCACGCAGCACATCGCAGCTGCAGAGGCCGAGAGAGAGAGCTTGATCCCCACATTACCAGGGCTGCTGGGCGATGCAAAATGCAGCAAAATATCTCAGCCAGTCTCCTGCCGACTCTGAGGTGCCAGTGCCGCAGTGACATCGCTGTAGATGCATAAGCTGAAGAAGGGAATACACCTGAACGCGAATGCTTCTGCCGCCGAGTCGCACAGAAAGACTTGACTTAGCACTATTATTTCAAAAGTTACAGTACTGGTTGACACGGAATCGGCAAAGCTACAGTTTTCAGATACATGCAACACAGAGAGAACACGGCGGATTTTGGGTCACAAGCATACATGCAAGGCACGACGTCGAAGCCTGCAGGGAGTTTCAATCATTCCAGTTCATGGCTGGCCATGGGCCGACGAAGCTATGTCCAGGCATATTTTCTAAATGGCTTCGTCTGAAAGGGTTCTGGCCAGCCTTTTGGTTTGGAAATTCTTGCTAGTCCCCTCCGAGGTTTATCAGGAGCCATGAAGAGATTGCAGCTGCTCGCAATGCGGTCGGGCAGCATTGGGTTCTTTTTCTCATGCCGCGAAGACGTGTTGCTGCAAACGTTGCCAAGGAGGCACGACGGGCAGCCAAGACAGGTGCAGGACATGTTGCCTCTTATCCCCCCGAAACTCTGGACACCGTGGGTTTCTAGTCGTGCAGGAGCTGGCTTCACGGAGGCAGAGCACAGACAGCCCGGCATAGGTTTGACCTGCGTCCTGTGCAGGCAGAGATGGAAGCTGCAAGCTGGGCGCGTAGGTTGCCTGAGGTGCAATTGCAGATTGCAAGGCCATCGCGACGTTTGAGGTGTTCCTCTATTTCTTTGTTCAAATTCAAAGATCTGGCAGGAAGACCAACGGCGAGAAGCGAAGTCTGAACACCAAAGGCTCTGCCACTTCATGCGGGGCCTGGGCAGTCCAGCTCTGGGAGGTGCAGACCTCCGCGGCCTTGTACGCTCCAATTCGCTGAGGGGCGGCGCTGTCGCCGTCGCTCAGGACATGCCCGACGCTGACTTCTTGTCTCCGGATCGTGTGCAATGCCGGAGCAAGGAGAATCCCGAGCCATTGGTACCAGATTCGGCAGGTAAAAAGCTTGGCAAGGACACGGCCAAGCTCACAGCCGAAGCCGGAATGCGGTATTGAGTGTCGACGTGCTTCCAGGAGAAAACGAAGAAGGAGAAAAAGGAGAAGAAGAGTCATGAGAAGAACAAGAAGAAGAAGGAGAAGAAGGACCTCTAGTCAAACTAGTCGCGCAAGGAACTCAGTGCAGTGCTGCTGGAAGTGTACATTGTCTCGGGGGCAGGAAGCAGGACAGGGCATTGAGAAAGGAGATGATGCCCTTGCACAGACCCCGGCAACAGGCGCCAGTTCTAGGGTCTCTTCAGAGGTGCGTTGGGTTTCATGCCTTAGCAACCTGCGCCTCTTCTTCCATGGCCTTTCCGGATCTCAACATTATCTCAACTGGCGTCTGGGCTCGAGCTTTGGCAAATGTCTGACCTCTGTAATGTTGATGAGCTGGACAGTGACTGCGCAGAGTCGCCAGGCCTTGGCCCACAGGGCACAGGTGAGACTTCCTGGGCAGAGTTCCTGCGTTTGACTTGCCGCCACTGCGAGCTCGCCGCGACCTGTGCGCCCGCACAAGATCTGCTCGACTTTGTGAAAAGGGCCTGGCAGCACCTTCAGAGCTGCAAAAAGTTGACATGTTGGCCCGGTCTCCAAGCTGTTTCCACGGTACACAAGCAGTTCTTCGTTGCCGGTGTGATTCAAGAGGAACATCTTCTTCCTGATTGCTTGCCAAGCTGGCAGACAGAAAGAGAGAGGGATGCGTTGTCTCCTCTTGCGCGACAGCGGATTCGCTTCTGGCGACCCCTTTTCCCATTCCCCCTGCTGGCATCACAGCAGCTTCTGTACTCGCAGCTAGATCCTGCTGGGCCCGAAAGCCTTTGTAGCCTACCCGACGGCGGCATGTACATTTCCCGAAGATTTATACCGAGGGCTGACCTGTCGTCATCTTTGTGCGCTGTGAGGAGAAGTGACATGCAGTTGCTTACAGCTTGCCGGAATCGAAGAGATCGCGGCGGCGACTTGTTTCGGCGAGTCCTGTCACCTGTTCATGCTAATCAGCTTAGGCTGGGCAGCTTTGCTGCTGTTTCTTGGTCGCAGAAGCGCGAGGAAGTCCAAAGAGCGGATCGTAAACTGGCTGGAGGGAAATGCCTCAATCACATCAATGAGACCTGCGTGTCTCCTGACTCTTCTGGTTTTGATTTGCGTCGTCCGTTTCTGCCTCCTTCTCAGGTCAGAAATTTTGACTTGATCCGGCGCAGAGAGAGGTTTTATTCACTTCAATGTCCCGTAACAATGGATGAGGGTAATGCATCTGTCTGGTGGGGATGGGCAGACGACAGTGCGGGACAGGCCGACGATGATGATATGCAGAAATACAGGACTCGATCCTCGGATGGAGGCTGTCAGTCTCAGACCGGCGCCTGGGGTGCAGACCTGCAGGATGCTTTGAAGTGTGTCCTTGTAGTGGTTGCAGAACGCTTCGGTTTCCAGCCCGGTGAGCTGCTGTTGGATTGGGGGTCTGGTTGTGGCTTTACCATGTCTTGGGCCAAAGCCTACTATGATGTTGATTCGCTGGGCATTGAAGTTACCCCAGCGGCTGCTTGGGCCGCGAGGTATAGCTTGGGCTTGAGCTGCTTGGCAGACGGTCGGAAGCTGCAGTGGGTACCAGATGGCCTCTTTGATTATGTCTTCTCTTATGCAGCCTTGCTGCACCTCAATTTTGAGGAGCAGTGTGAGGTGGCCCACCAACTTCTGCAAAAGCTCAGGCTTGGCGGCAAAGCTTTCCTCGGCTGGAACCGAGCTAACAAAGTAGGTCCTTGGGAGTGGTACGATTGCTTTTGGCCTGAAATAGGGTCATCCGTGGAACTCGAGGTGCTGGAGGAGGCCACTTTATTTTCTGAAGACCCATCCGTGATCACAGACCAGCATCGCTTCGCGTGGGACTTTCCATCGTATGCTGTACTGTTGAAGCGAGCCTCGTGACCGGGGCTTGATGGGGCTTGTCGTCTCCATGAAAAGAGGTACTGATGGATCGCGCTTTATACATGCCATACGCAGCCAGTAGGATGTTCTTCAATATTTCGTTGTCAGGTGACTTGGTCTCCAGTGAAGTTGGGTTGCTGGAGGTGCGTCGGCACTGGCCCGGGCCAAACTTCAAATTCTGGCACGAGCTAGGCCAAGTCTCTCGAGATGAAGAAGCGCAGGAGACGCTCCCATAAGCTGCTCATAATTTCTTGCGACCTGCTTGAGCCTCCTTCGCAGGAAGATCGCCAAAGAGATGCGACGAGAGCAACGCAGGCTCAAGCGCGAGGACGGTTAAAGCCGGTACTCTGACAGCCTTCACATATTGCTGCATCCAAATAGGTATGCGAGTCAATACAAACCTCGCAGCATTCACAGGAAGGTGGCCGTGATGATCACGGCAACAGCCCGGCAGCAACAACAGCACAGCATGAAGGATCCTGCTCAAAAAGACCTACGGAAAGCTAATGCAAAGCACACTGAGCTGCGAATGCAAGGGCACGGGAATCTCGGCGCCTAAGCGGTGACAGTCCAACGAGGTGACTTGACTGAGGCTCACGGGATCTCGCCGTTCTTCGGTCTCACGTTCAGTCCATTGCTTGTTAGTCACAGAGCATATAACACAGTACCGTCACTGTGGACCGAACTTCGCCTGGAGTCGTGCAATCCGAGTATGAACGCATTTCTTATTGTTGACATGGTGTCATTTGGAGGACCTGCACTCATGACTGGGGCCATCGGGATTTAAGCAATGCGGCCTCCGGCCCATCTCCGGACGGGGGGGTGTTGAGGACCAGCGCCAACAACCACCGGTGGATGTAACCGGAAGTCCCAAGTGACTCAAGTTTGGGCGCTGGCCTACAGACAGGAATGGGCCAGCTCTTTCGTTTGTGCTTTCCTTCCTCGCTCCTTACCTCTGCTTCGGCGGTGAACAACGAGGGTGTTTCTTTCTCATAGGGTGCTACCAGTACAATCATTGCCAACAAGGCGGAGGTTCTTGTGGAAGGAGGCAGTTAAAGGGAGAAGGTCGCATGACCTTGCTCGCTGCGGACTCTGTCGAAGCGAATGTTGATACGCTTGCAGGAACGTGAGCGGTTCAGACAAGAACAAGAGGCCTTGCATATTCTGCTTTCTGAGGCGAGAGTCATTTAGGCTTGGTCTCATCTGCTCAATGAAGGAACTGGAAGCCGCCTTCCAAGACGACCCAGGCCAGGTACAAACGGACATGTAGAGTCGGCAGGCAGCATGGTCCTTGAACGGAGGCCTGCAGGATGCAATCGACAACTTGATCCAAGTGGTGCAGCAAGAACGGCCGGCCAAGGGCCCGGCCGGCCAAGCCACGATGCGCAGTGCTGAACGCTAGCAGCCGCTAGCAGCATGTGAACGAAGGTGCAGGCAGAGGCTCCGGACACGGATGAGGCGGAAGGCCGGGACTTGCAGCAGCGCCAGCCAAGCCATTCAAGCCAAGTGGCCCATGTCCTGTTTCGCAAGGCCAGGCGCCGTTCCGAAGCTTGGAAGAGTTGGTGGCCGCAGCCTCTGCAAGTTCCCGGCAAACCTTGGCAGCAGCTATGCCACTCTCAGGCACAGCTTGACGAGCTTGAGAAATCAGAAGCAGGCAGTTGTGTGAGAAATGAAAACAACTGACTTCTGCATGACACTCCTCGGCCAGCTTCAACTATAGTCTAGAGTGAGGTTTAGGTCGGCCTGTGGCATGCCGCAGGCTAGGCACGTGCTGGACATTCTGCAATTTTACGGAAATACAAGTGGTCTGCGTCACACCATGGATGTGGATCAGAAGTCGCGCCTCGTCCGCGGAGCCATCATTCGCTGCTTTCCGATCGCTCGCCATCTGAAGCACATGCTCAACCAGTGGAGACGGTAGTAGCAGCAGTTGCTGCTACGAGTATGACTAGTATTATTAGTAGTACCATTATCACCATAATTTCTATTGCTTTTATGATTATTATGATAACCGTCATCTTTCTTATCACGATTTTTTCTACTACTGTTGTTGCGAATATTGCTATTGTTGCTATTGTTCTTATTATGACTATTGCGATTGTTATTATGATCACGACAGCGAGTGGTTTCATGCAGCATGCCTGCCCTACCTGTCCAGGAGTTACCAAGCCCGTGTCCGCTCCGCACGACCCCTTGAATCCACTCAATGCTGCTTACGACATGCGGGCCTATGAGGACGGGAAAGTAGCCTGCCTTGGCTTCGCGTAGTGCGGCCCTGCGGATTTCCGTTGTGTGGGGAGATCAACTGGTGCCAGATGCTCCGGAAACTTCGCCTGGACGAAGAACATCAGATGTCACAGGTTGCCGCTGACGAGCCCGAGTGTGCAACTCAATTTCAAATCTCGCGCGACTGCTGGAGGATAGCTTCGGTTTTGACTTCTGAAACCTGTTGCATCTGCATAGGCCTCTTACACCCTCCTTTTGCATTAGACTCTCAGTCGTTCCAGGTGGGACCATTTAGGCTATCTTCGACGATCACCTTCTCCCTGTCGTCTGCGTCGGTGCCTCGGGGTTGGAAGGACAAGGAAATTTAGGAAGGTTTGGTAGAAGCCCATGCTGTAGCTGACACGAAGGCACCAATGGGACGATGTGGCCCACTCGCAAGGGTGCTTGGAGAAGCCGTGCAGGAGGAGTTACTGGTCCAACAGTTGTCGGGCTCCTGGGCTTTTGGCCTTTGATTTGCACTGAGGTTTATCTTCCTCCCGAAGCTGGAGAAGTGGAGCGGAGGCCTGGCGCCGGCCTGTGACAAACTCTTGGTTTGTGTCGGGAGCTTGGCCAGGGGCTCCGCGAGCTTAAGTCCAGCCAAGTGGATGTATCCGGAGGAGCGCATGCGAGTCACCCGTGGCGTTCTGGACCCCACACAAAAACCTGAAGGAATTCAACAGACCCTTCAAAGAAGCTCGTAGATCGCCGTCCTACAACCGCTACGACCGGCTGGGATCACAGTGAACGTTGGACGATCGGGCTGGGATCGCATGAAAGTAGTCGAACGGCTTTGTATATCAGGGAGGAGATCTCCTCTACGTCCTCCTCCAGCTCGTCCAGCACTGTACCGAAGCGCCGTCGGAAGAAGCGCAGGCGAGGCCACTTTACACCCGGAGAATCCAAACTGGCAAAGCCGGCAAAGTCTTTGCTCTGAGACTCCGCTCAAGCTCGCACGAGAGCCGACCCTCTCCTGAGTACCTCCCGGAGGCACGGCAGCGAAAACGAGGCAGTTTGCAGTGTGCGCCGCTGTCAGGCTTGACCTTCATGCAGTCGTCAACCTTCGGTGCTAGTCTTACCTTGCTGTTGTTTGTGCGTCGAAGGGTAAGGAAGTTTCTTCTCCGGCAGGCTGAAAGCCGAAACGCGGCTGGTGCCAGCAGAACGTTGCCGTGCACTGTACAGTGTCACGAATGTCTTGTGGCTGCGTGGCATGGTATCACCGTGGCTGGTTGTGCGTTGTCGAGCTCTGCGTCTGGATGCAGAAAGTCGCAAAAAAACAGGGGAGATGGTCTGAATTCTCCCACGTAACAACGGCTCTCAGAGTTGCATATGGGGATGCCAGTCTTTATCGAGCAGCGGCAAGGCACCAAGACGAAGCATGTTGGACTCTGTTCAGCTCTCGCCCGGAGAACTGTCCAATCAGGAGGTCTGGAGCCTTGCGTCGAGCATTAGTGTCGCAACGTTGCAGAGGGTAGGTTGCCAATGTTAATCGATCCTGTGCAACTACTGCCGCACATCAACTCGGACCAGTCGCAGCGAGTCAAGTCAAAATGTCGTCATCGCCCAACACGTTATTCGCCAAAGTCTTCACATCCACAGCTCATCCAGAGTTTTAGGGGTTGAGGGTTGCAAAGGACTTGGGATCAGCAGGTGCAATCTCAATAATGAGAGCCCAAGAGCACGCTTCTCGTGGCCGGTTTGGCATGGAAGACAGACTCTTCTCCGCTTCATACGTGCATACTTCAGTCCAAGTCGTGCATCCTTTGGCTGTGACACTTCATGTCGCAGCTCGGGGTCTGGACCACCCATCTGGAGGCTCATAAAACTTAAGATGTCGCTGCGCCAGCGGTCAATCAAGTTTGTTGTGTGAATGTGCTGTCCATCACCAACCCCCATTACCGCTGCTCTGAGCTTGAGTCCCCAGGGATCATGCCACGGTACAGACAGGAGAGACATGGGATGCAAGACTGGCAGAAGAGATTGTCCGCCATGAGCAGCTGAGCCTACCAGGGTTTTGCACGGTGCTTGTCTATGTAGTCAAGTGACAACATGCGCAGACAGCAGAGTCCTGATGGCAAGACAGAGCCTGCCAAGGGGACCCGGGCCTGGCTTGTTTGCCAATCACGAAATGTCTCAGCTTGCAGTGAATTTCGCCAAGGAAGTCTCGCTTGTACTCACTGGTCCGATCGATCCAAACAGGCAGCTGGGTCGGAGAGGTATTCTAGTGGATCAGGAATTGAACATGTCGTCACCACGTTGCCACGGGTACAAACTTCAATGGTTCGGTGGTCGCTGTTGGACATCGAATCGTGTGCCAGCGATGCAAACAGACGACAGCCAGTGCATGACTTTTTTCCTCTGACCTGCCTATGATCTCGTGACGACCAGCCGTCGCGGTCGTCAGAGTCATGGTCGTCGCGGTTCTCTTTCAGTGTTGGGGACCCACGCGGGCACAATTGTCGTGCCAGTGGACGATTGGACTTCGAATGCAGGCCATGTCATCAACACCATCTGGGCAAGCGAGGGGACCGCCCTCTGCAGCGTCTCGTTCTCGGCCACATGCAACGCTTTAAGTGTACTTGGGCAGCCTTGCTTGCTTCTTTGTATGAGATTCTAGATGTGTTCAGGTGCAGATGAGCCTGGTCAAAGCCTTCCTTATTTGGCCTTTGAAGGCATGTCCGAGTTGACTGTTTTCGCCGGCAGCCAGGCAACTTTGAGAGCTTTTTTTCCTACTAGGTAGAACTGGGGTAGAGCTCAGTTTACCTGCACCTTCGGGCAGTTTTGAGTTTGGTGGGGAGGAGTCGCATGAATTTCAAGTCCGTTCTGTCAGGATTACACTTGCAGATGTTGAGGGTGGAGTCACGGTATGTAAGACATTCTGCAAGCTTGCTAGTGACGTCAGCACCATGCGTGATGCTACTCAGCCAGTGGTAGGATTCTGCGGTACCGAGCGTCAGAGAGCCGTTCGGCAGACCATCCCCATACCGGCTAATATCTGGCACCCAGCACCCCAGCTCAGTCACAAGAAGGCGGTTGCACCGCTCTCCTACATGTACTGGGCGAGCCCGGCGCTTCTTTGGCTTCATGAGAGCAAACGTGTGCTTTTCAGGTGGTCGCTTTGATGTAGTTGGAAGCAAGCAATGCCTCGCGTTGTTCAGTGCAAAGAAGTGAGCATAGTCTATCCCAGGTCGATTGGGTCAGGGAAGCGGTGACTCAGGGTGTGCTGTTGTGTGGACCCAGCTGGGTACCTGCCGAAAGCCATGGCCAAGAAAGACCAGCAAGATCCGTGTTGTGAGTCAAGCACCACGCCAACGAAGTTTCGATCCTGGTCAGTTCTGTGAAAACAACAGTAGGACCTTTACCGTGTCCATGTCAAAGGGATCCGGAAAGCTTCCCGAAGCACATTGCCGATGGCTACCTGCTACCTTCTCATTTTGGAAGCGTCAGCCCCCTACAACTTTCTTGGAGAAGTGTATCGAGCACCGCCAACAAGACAGACACCCGTCTGACGCACTTGTGATGTCTTGTATGGCACCCACCTGGCCGGAGAATCTTATCCCGAATTCCGGTTCCGGCAGAGATAGGGCACGACAGAAGGCAGATACTGTCACAACAGGGCGCACGGCTGACTCCTCCCGGAGTTCGTGAGAGAGAGGAAGAGTGAGAGTGTGCCAACTTGCGATCGAGGAAATCAACAGGGTCATCCCCCAGGGAACTTCGAAGGTTCGCCATGCCTGGGAGGGAGAGCGAGAGAGAGAGAGANNNTTTTGCATTTCCCGAGGCACCCGATTTGCTGGTCTTTGTCACTAGCCTCCTTGCCCTTTACTCCAAGGGTTGTTTTTGCGAAGTCGTCGAGAAGCTTGCAGGGGAACACAGTGTAGACAGTGTACAGGTGAAGGACACTCGCCCCCCAAAGGGGAAGCGCTGACAGACAACCGCGCGCCAAGGGGGTAGGCCTACGGGCCAGGGCTTCCCCGGAGGCCCATACCCCGAGCAAGCAAGCAAGCAGCAAGCTTTTCGTCAACCTGCCCCCACGGGGGCGCAACAGTCCGACACACTACTAGACCTCGAGTCCGTGGTACAGCAGAGCCCATCCAACAAAATGGTGGATGGGGTTACACGGCTGCGCGGGCTGCGAGGACTGCTCGTAGCCCAGCCCCAAAGCAAAGCAAAGAGAGCAAGAGAGCAAGAGAGCAAGAGAGCAAGCAAGCAAGCAAGCAAGCAAGCAAGCAAGCAAGCAAGCAAGCAAGACAGAGAGAGAGAGAGAGAGAGGGAGCGCTGTGGCGCAGGGGGGTGCGGGCGCGTCTCCCCATAGCTCCAAACGGCCTGCAAGCAAGCAAGCAAGAGAGAGAGGGAGAGAGAGGGAGAGAGAGCTGCGCGCATGCGCGTGGAGGGGTTGGTACTTACCGGTACTTTGCCTTGCTCAGCTGACTCATCCCCCAATAGGGGGCTGCGCCCCATGGGCGTATGCCTCTGCTTCCCCCGATGCGCCTACACTCTGGCAAGTAAGCAAGAGTGTTGGGGGTTTGGGCTGTGCAGGAAGTGTGCGTTGGGGGTACCCGGGGTACGTGCTTTCCTGCTACCTTCCGTCTTCGACGCTAGATTCCGCTAGATTGCCACCTGCCGCACCAAAGCGCCAGAGCGTGCCTGTGTGTGGGGAGTTATGAAGCAGGGTCTCGTGAGCCTTATGGCAGGCCTGGCGACTGATGCGCAGTTTGTCCGGACGCTCCGTGCAACGTGTGCTGCTGGCCTTTTGCAGACGTCGGAAGTTTGAATGGTTTGCTGGACTACAGTACTTGCTGGGCTTAAGGCTTTGTCTAGAGTCTACATCTTTTCTAGCCTCGAGCGAATTGGTGGAAGACGCAAGTGCCCATGCGTTGCAAACCAGGTGCAGCCACAGGGTGCCCTCGCAATACTCCGCGCAGCCTTGATCTGGGGCCTGCAGGCAGGCACTTGAGGGCAAGTTGCGGCTTGAAGACACGTCCAAGATTATAGCAAGATAAATGCCATCGTGGTCTTGCACGTCGCCAAGTATGCCAGAACGGGCCAGCCTGAAATGGCTTGGTCCACATGTCAGGAGTCATTGTCCTTCCTCTTGGGCTTGGAAGTCTTCTTCTACCTGTATTACCTCTACAAGCATGCCAGCTTGCAGGCATGCAGCTCGCTTTGCCAAAGACCTAGCTTTGTAGAAGGGACTTCGGCTTGTTGCTAAGGCTTCAAGTTCAGAAGCATTCGCCTTTCCTGGGAGGCACCTGCAGTCCCTCCAAGGATGCCGCCAGGCAAGTCTTTGGCTTGGTCCCTAACTGTGCGTGTTTGTGCACGGATCACTTTTGTAATCCGCATATGGGCAGATGGAGGTTTTGGTTTAGAGCAGAGTTATGAGTTGGGATTTCTGCGAGCTCCTCAAATTCTTGTTCCATGCCGGGTAGACTGGGATCGGCCTAGCCCCGAACTTCAAGCGGCTGCGGTTTCCCACAGCGATTCCCCCGAAGTGGCGAAGTGAACCTTGATTGGCTGGGGGGTTGGGGTTCCGGAGGTTCGGTTGAAGAGGTTTGGTAGAGTCTGTTGCAACAAAAGCGTGGCATTATGGCCCGAGCTGTTAAAATCGCCTGATGAGACACTACAACATCACGCGGTTTGAATTCGACTCTCCGAGACAGCATCCTTGCGCTATGCCAAAGACGACGGGCGAATCTGCGAGACGGTGCAGGCATGAAGTCACAGGTGGAGGTTTGTCGCGCGATAGCATCGGAGGCAGCTTGGCTTGGACTTGGTCCTAGTTGGGGCTGCAATGCTCTCCCAGAGGCACTTTCGGCAAATTGTCCTGCCTTATCAGAAAGGTGTGGGACAGAGCGGTCGTCCTTCTGGAAAGTGCGACTGCTGAAGGAGTGGAGCTCAACAGGATCCTTTGCAGTGCTGCAACTTGGGCTTAGTGACAATGCATGGGTTCTTGTCCAACTTAGTAGTTTGGCGTTTGTCGCAACCTGTCTCCAGCAGGCCATCAAGTCGTGTCGGCAATCCACTTGCTGGGCATGGGCCTGGCAGCTTCTAGGCGATGCAGAATGTGGTCTTAACCCAGACATCCTTACCTACAACACTGCAGCCACAAGCACACGTCTCAGCGACAGTTGCGTCGAATGCCTGGAAGGGGCCTAGAAAGGAGCTCCGGGACCGAGGCGTGACAGGACGTCAATGGCAGATTCCGATGGACATGATGTCGGGCCTGCGGGAAAGCTTCCTCGAGGCAGATCTGATCACTTACAGTTCTGCCATCTCAGCCTGCCTCGCAGTTGC